CAGAAAGATCTGGCCTTTAGTATCTCACACAATTCACATTAAGTTGTCCAAAGTGGACCGTTGTAAATTAAAGCCCAAAACAAACAGTTCTCCAAATACATGCCAGACCGACCGGCTCAATCCATACCCGATTTGATCTCTCAATCCAATGTTTGCCCTTGGATCCCACTTCTGCTGAGCCTTCATTCAGGGCTAGGGTTCTCTTATAATGAATAATGTAGCCGCTTTCTCTCTCATTCGCTTTTCTCCTTCCTCTTCAGTCCCAGGCAGGTTCTTACGGAAGGAGGTTTGATCTGGTTACTCTTGGAGTTTTCTCCTTGTAGCTCGTACATACGGTAGTAGGCTACTATTGAGCAGGGTAAAGTTCTCCGTTATCCCCTTGCCGTGAAGTAGAAGCAACGGTGAGAACCAGTTACCTCTTGGGTTTCCCTTCTCTAAATCTTTATCTACAAAAAGGTGCTAGTTGAAAAATAGGTTCCCTTCTCTTATCAGTAGTATTAGAGCAGTCAGTTGTGGTCAGAGTTATGTATTTTGGGCTATTAGTTCCCTTGGCAATGGAGTTCCAATGCCATAGTACTGCTTCTTGATGTATTAAAGGAAGCACTGTTGGTCTGAATCTCTAGTTTTGGAAGTAAACACTAGCGCACGCATCCGTGCTTTGGTTCTAAGCAGCAAACGGAAGGACTACATTAATTGTTGTGTTGGTGCCAATCAAATGAGCCGAATCATACCAGACAGCAGGTGTTCATGCAGTATACTCAAAAATAAAACAAAATAAAAGGGAGCTCACCCAAACCCATGATCCTGATAATAAGGCAAATTCGACAGCAAAGTCTCGTCCACATCGAACACCCAGGCGTCCTTCCCGTCTCCCGCCATCCCCACCGACCTCGCGTACGCAGACGCCTCGCCGGCGACCATATCGAGATCGAATCTGTACCTCTTCCCCATCATGTAATCCTCCACGTAGGCTGCGCACTGAGTTGGGATCGTCTTCCAAGGACCGAGATTGTTGGCCTCGCAGGCAAAGCGCCAGCTGTCGCATCGCAACTGGGCGTCGTCCTCGCCGCCGGCGGAGGAGGAGGAGGAGGAGGAGGGGAGTTGGGAGGGGGTCGAGGGGATTGGAGGAGGCGAGGGTGGAGAGAGAGAGGAAGAAGAGGAGAGAGAAGAGTCCCATTTTTGGGGTTTGATTTGGGAGATTTCTTTTGGAGGGTTTTTTTTTAAGGGTTTTGATTTTTTTTTTCTCCTTCTTCGTAGGAGGAAGAGGACTTCGTCGGAAAGTATTGTTCGATTCGGTTTGATTCGTTGCTTTTCTTCGATACGCTGGTTTTGTTTCGATTGGCAACCCATACTGTTAGTAGGTCACGAGCCATGATGGAAAGTATAGGATATGAAACTGTTCCATACACTTTCCACCATTGTAAAATATTTAAACTATTATTTTGACATTTAACTAAAGATGCAGTTAAATATTGATAAATTTCAGAAACCTCTGCTTATGATCCAAGTCCAGATCCACCAGTTAGCTCAGCTACCATTATTCCCTATCAAAACTCACACTTTTGCCCCGACTTGAACTCGTAGAAGCAGAAGTTGTAGACTGATGTGTAGTTACACCATATCTAGCTTCATACTTGTGAGATCCTAGTGTTCACACGAGGCTGCAGTCCAAAGTGAATACTAAAATATCAAACCTATCATGCACCAACACCGTGCAACGACATGTTTCACCATCACAACTACTATCTCTCTAGTAAAATCAACAAACAGGTGAAGGTACAAGCAGACAAATGGTAATGAAATAGAATAATGAAACAGAATATGCGCAAAAGAAGTGTGTAAATAAATCACCACAAGGGCCCAACTGAAAAAAAAACTCTAACTCTGAAATCAATCTCAATTCAAGGGTCAAATAACATCTCTCTAAGGCACTCAACCTCCACAAAGTAAAATTACAATCTCTAGAGTTTGAAAATAAACAACTACCGTGGAGCTATGAAATAACTACAAATATAAATAACTAGATTGAATCTAAGATGCAATCCCATCAACCTACGACTCTCCGTACGCTGGACTCACTACTTGAAAGGGGGAAAAACAATGAGCGTCAAAGCACTAGCGAGATCATCTCCACCGCCCCCAGGGGAAAGGGTTAAGAGTATATAAGAAAATATTGTTAGTACATATAGGTTTTAAATCATTCATAATACACTAAGTAAAAATTGATATTTATAAACCCAAAACACGAGAATTAGTACGTCGAGCGAAATAATCCAAACAAATAAACCCTCATGTATATACCATGTCTCAAATTGTGAATCGCTAAATACCAATTCCAAACCCATGGATGAAAAACAATACATAAAGAAAAAAAATACCACAACTCCAAACCTCGACCATATAGAGCCAATGTCACAATCTCGAACTGTCCTCGGGTAGTCGGCGCAGTCATAAGAAAATATCATTCAGCTCAAACATCACCATAGACTATACCATGTATGCCATGTATCCAATGTGTACCCTACTCTCGAGTAATCTAACATGAGAACAAATTATAACCGTGTATATATGTTTTTATCACATAACGATACTCTTGTAAGGTTCTCATAATATCATGTGGATTCAACGTCCTTACTCAATCGTTCTATGGCAATAGGTTTTATCTCTCCTATTTCGGATGATGCATCCAGATGATCGTACAACGGAATGATGGCGTATTAGCCCAATCCGGAAACACCCTGATCATCTTCGAGTATTGGTACCATCGAAGTCTCATTATGAAAACCGTCCAAATACTCCTAGTGTGGTACAGCCGAGGTCTCATTACGGGATAAACGTCCACACTGAACATCCCCAACAGATAGGTTATGCATTATTATGTGTTATGCCAATAACTATTAACTCAAACATGTGTTATGCATCTCAACGATGCATGTATACTCAATTTCGAAACATGTATTCAAGTGTTCATGCACGTATCTCAATGTGCGAACATATATCTTGTGTTCACATACACCTCAGGTGTTTAACAGACCATAAACATCATAATATAACTTACACAGATTGAGAAAATCCCTCGAAATCAGCGAATATGAGACAAAACATGCACATGCTCGAACATGCCTGGCGGTAGATCGCGCCTTATGCGGCGGTCGATCGACTCGAGGTCCTCTTCCTGCTTACTGCAGGTTCGTGTTTGTGTGTGCTCATGATTCTAACTTGTTTAACTCATTGCAAATACTAAATTAACATCTCCGAAGATTATTCAACACATGAAACAAGAATCACAACATTAAATATTACATGTAAACCCTAAACATGTTTGAAAACATCAAAACGTCGATAGAATCGTCAAAACTAAGTTAAATCACATGTTTAATTATTTTCAGATCTTATTTTACTTCTGAAAATTCGTTCATAATCTTTTAAACACAAAAAAGATTTAATCTTTAACTCATATATTATATAAGAACTATTTTATACTCAAAATAGTTGATTAGGCTCAATAAATCCATATTAAAACTCAATAAAACACTTAAAAATGTGGGAGTAGGGTTAGCAGAGATGAAACTCGCCTGAAACATGTTGAAAACCTGAAAGATGCAAAGCCAAGACAGATCCCTAAGCCTCACGCCAAATCCAAATTGAAATCTCGCTTCAAAAAACTCTTGAACTCTCATAAAATTAATATAGGGTTTAGAAGAAGGGATGGTGGTTGCTAGAGTTTTAGAACTCTGAAATAAAATGTAAAAATTCGTGTTCAAGAGGTATTTATAACATAGAAATGGACATGGGCCTCAAAATATCCGTTTTCAATTCAAAACAGGAAAACTAGAAATATGATTGGCGGTCGACCGCGCCTGGTGCAGCGGTCGACCGGCCAGTGCACAAACAGTTTGTGCAGTTTGGCCATTTGTGCATGTTTCGACTTGATTCTTTCACATATACGGACTTGTTTGCACTCAAAACACTTGCTATCATACTCATACACCATTTTATGATGTTTATCACAATAAATATCCACTCATCTCAATTAATCGCATTTATTTCAAATTATCACATATTAATTCAAATTTACGGGATTTTACATTCACCCCCTTAAAAGAATTTCATTCTCGAAATTCTGTAATCATATCTTAAAAATTAATAATACGAAAAAAGCACTAAGAGGGGATAATCCAGACAAGAAAACCCTCCTGTACACATCTCATACTATTAATCCCCAGATATGGATCATAAGCAAATATTTAAACTTAATAATCTAAAATGCATGCACTCCCACTTAACCCCTAATTAGACGGGACTAGTACGTCGGGTGAAAAATCCAAATAAGAACCCCCCATATATATACCATATATTCCGAATGATTAGGAGCTAAGTGTTAGTACCCTAATCTAGCATTAAATATAAATATGGCTGAACAATATAACATAAATATAAATACGTATATGCATACTCAAACATCAACATTTTACCTGCTCAAACAGGTGTGGGTAGTCGCAACGTACATCCTCCTCGCGCTCCCAAGAGGCTTCTTCAGCTCCTTTTTACTAACAGAATAACTTTGTTTCTAAGCCTTTTATCATCTCTAGCAAGAATACAAATCGGGACCTCTACGGTAGTCAAATCATCCTATATCTCAATATCTTGTGCATCAATCACTCACTGCTACTCCTCGTCGTGCAAATGCTTCTTGAGCATCGAAACATGAAAGACATCGTGTACACTTGATATCGATGCTGGAAGATCTAATCTATAAGAAACGGCTCCAACATGCTTAATAATCTTGAATGGACCAACATATCTCGGGGCAAGTTTTCCCCGTCTACCGAATCGCTGAACACCCTTCATCGGTGATACTTTCAACATGACTAAATCTCTAATCTGAAACTCCAAAGGTCGTCGCCTCTAATCCACATAGCTCTTTTGCCGATTCTAAGTGGTAAGAATACGCTCTCTAACCAATGCCACATTCTCTGTAATCTGCCTCACTAACTCTAGTCCAAGCAATAAGCTATCCTCTGATTCTGCCCAACAAATAGGCGATCTACATGGCCTCCCGTACAATGCCTCATACGGTGCCATCTCGATAGTATCCTGATAACCATTACTATAAGCAAATTCAATCAATGGGATGTGGTCCTCCTATGTAAGGACCATGAATTTTGATACTAGTTAAAATAATTTTTTGATATTTTAAAATATTTAATTATTATTCTTAAAATATTATTTGTATTTTTCTCGATTTTCTATATTTTTCTATGATTTAAAAATCTAATTATATATTTATTTAAATAATTTTGATATTTATAAATTTATTTTGTACGGTAAAATTTTTTGGAATTAATTTGTTATGTTATCAGTACTATTATATAATATTTTAAATAATATATTGTATTATTAATATTATTACAAATTATTTCATATAATACATGGTATTATTAATTACATGTTTTTGGTATAATTTATGGTATTATTTCTATTATTACATATTATCTGTCGTATTAGTATAACTAGTACGTTTTACTGTGTATGTAATTGTCCCATAATTATTTTATCTTAAATTTAAGTAAAAATATTTTTATTATGAATTATTCTCGTTTAATTATACAATATGGGTATATTTCGACTATTTCGTATCAACTGTTATATTAGCACAGCGTGTACATTTTTAATTGTAGATAATTATTTCATAATTAGTTTAATTCTTTTAAATACCATAATTATTTATTTTTAAACCCTAACCCTAACCCTAATATACCCTATATATATACACTTTATTTTTTTCGTTTTTCTTTTCCTTCACAGCAACCCCACATCTCTCTCTCCTCTCTCCTCTCAATCATCTTTCTTCTACGTCTCTCTCTCTCTCCCATCTCTCTACTCTCCTCATCTCTCACTTATTCTCTCTCAGATCTCAACCTTCTCCTATCTCCGGCCGACCGCAACCAGCTTGGTCACTCCGTGAGCCTCCGCCTCATCACCGACAACACCCATCACGAACTCGACAAACCCCTACCTAACGCGCCTCCAACGCGCTGACCTACCCCACGGCTGCCGCCTTAGACCACGCCCGCGCCTCTCCCTTCGCTGCTGTAGGCATATAAAATTGCTTATAGGTCCCTTAGCACAACTCGGCAAAAACCGACGAACCATCGGGCGACGTATCCAAACACGAGCGTCAATCTACAACGCCAAAGCCAAGTGACACGCAACGAAGCGGATTAACGAGGCGACGAGGTTAACGAACCGCACTCAAACAACGGAATGAATCCACTCGCGTGCGGAATCAAGCTAACGGGTTGAGGAATCAACGAGTCATCCAACCAAGAGCGGATTCGGACGAATCA